TACTCTTCACCTCTCATAATCCATTCTTCATATAGCAATTGGTAACTTTGTAACCTGTAACTCAGGTCATATCACCTGCCCTTAAAAGCACTGAATGGTTCCCCTTAATCCCAACTCCCCAATCCCACTCCCATCCCGCAAGGTCCTACCGAGTTAACACCTACCCACCTTTACATACTCTGGAAATTCATTTCTAACAACTCTCTCCGTGTTCCACATCCGGGCCACGTGGACCTCCTTCTGCTCCTACACATGACAGGCTCGCTTAGTCTGGCTCTTTCCTCTGGAGTAGTACCCCAACTACCACTCTGCCTGGACTACTGTCCCCCGAACTTCATGTGGTTGATTTCTTTCTCTGATACTCAGGTTTCTGTTAAATATTACCTTCTCAGCCTCTCCTACCCATAATAACCTAATTTGTCTTCATCACCGCTTTCTTCATTCCCCCCAAATTTCTTCTTTTATTATTTTCTGGTTTATTTTCCTATTACCTTCTTCCCTACATTACGATGAAAGTTCCACCTGTCCCTGGCTCTTGCAATAGTGCTTGGTACAGAGAAAGTGCTTCATGTTTGTCGAATGGTAAACTGTCCTAAATTCTCTTTTGCATGTTTATTCATGCTTAAAACAGTCTGTAAACTGGGCGTGGTGGTACATGCCTATAATCCCAGTACTTGGAAGGCCGAGGCAGGAGGATCACCATGAGTTCAAGGCTAGCCTGGGCCTCACAATGAATTCAAAGCTACCCAGAACTACATAGCAAGACCCTGTCCCAGGGGGAAAAGAAACCACTCTGAAACACTGGCCTTATGTACACTTTTTTACATCAAAAATTAAGAAAAGCTCCCTCTTTTCTTCCTTAAACTGTGCATCTCTGCTTTTCACGCATGCAGTATACTGTCTCAGCCACACATGAAGCTGTATGGTAGGGCCACCAACATCAACAGGACGTGATCCACACCCTCCAGGAACTCAGAGACTTACTGACGTAGCAAACATGTTAACAGAAGCCTATAAAGTCACATGGTGAGTAAGAGATAGCAATATAGTAGAGGGATGTGTGAACCCAAGTTAGAGGCATCAGAAATGTCATCCTAGAGAAAATAATGAGATCTGAAACTTAAAGAGTGAGTATAAAATTATCTGGGAGAAGGGACAAAGAGAAAACAAAAGGCAGATACGGAGGTGGAAATATGCCGTAACAGTGGACCACAAGTTCTCAGCTCTGCTGAGGCACAAACAAGTAAGATTTGAGATTGGAAAACAGGTAGTAACCTGACAGTGACAGACTGTGGTGTAGTTTAAGAAGTTTGAACTTCTTAGGCAATGTGGTTATGGAAATCCTAGAGGCCACCAGCATGGCCAGTTACATTTTTCTGTATCATTCTGTGGCTCCATAGAAGATGCAATTTAGGATGTAAGGGATTGGAATGATCAGGAAAAAGCCTGGTAAGAAGAGTAAGGATTTTTTTCTAAAAAGAAAGAGAACTCAGGATTTGTTTAAAAAACACTTAGGAGATAATAGGACTTACGAGTACTAGGATATTGAGAAAGAGGAACAGGGAAGGGGAGCAAGAAAAGAAGGCAAGAAACAAGAGGTTTGGGAATGGAAGGATAAAGAGCACATGGTGATCCTTTGGGGCCTATGTTCTAGGGTCAAACAGACAAGGTATTCAGTTTTGTTTCTGCTACTTGTATGATTCTGAAAAGTTTCTTGAACTTTCTAAGCTTCAGGTCTCTTGTAAATTAAACAGAAATCATATCAAACAGGAATAATATCAGAATCTATTTCCTAGAGTCATTATAAAAACTAAATGAGCCCAGGTGTGTGGTACACAACTGTAATCCCAGCACTCAGGAGGGTTTCACCATAACCTTCATCTGCTTACTAGTCCCGGCCACCCTCTCAACCAGGTGTACTGGGTAATGCTTCATTTCTGGTCCTCCTGCTTATATCTTTGCTCCTCTTCAGCCTATTTTCGACCCAGAATTAGAGGGGAAAAGGGAAGTTAAAAATCAAATTATGTCAAGCTTCTACTCTCCCTTCCAGGAACTTTTAACCCAGGAGCAGAAACACTGAACTTATCTTCAATATGGCACAACGCTCTGGTCATTGACTTTATCTCCTGACCCTCTCCCCTTTGCTTATGCTGCTCCACCTACTCTCACCTCTTTATTGTCCTCCAACAGTCCTGGTGTGAACTTTGCATGTGCTGCTTCCTTAAAGTAGAATGATCTTGTGACCACTAATTATCATATGTCAACTTGATTGCATCATAAAACTCCCAGGGAATTAGTAAAGCACACTTCTGGACGTGTCTCAGTGGTCACGGAACATATTATGTACTATGTACGGTCCCTATCCACTTCCTCTCTGGCACTGTTTCTCTATTCTGCTTCCCTACCATCGTGAACTGAGCAGCTGTGATAGTTAACTGATTGTGTCAACTTGAATAAGAAATGCCCAACTAAATTGGATCAGCATAGTTCTGGTTATGGGAAACCCATCCTAGGGAGGATTGTCTTGTGTGGTATAAAAGGGAAATGAAGAAAGAAGGCTTGCTTCTGCTTCTTCAGATGAGCTCCAGTCTTCACCATCACCTTGGACATCATCTCCTGGCTTCCAGCAAAGACTCTTAAGACTCCAGCATAGACCCTTCAGCCTCCTGATACAGGACACTACAGGTCTTTGACTGGATCCTTCAGATCTCCAGTGCATACAGAGACCTTTTGCATTTTTCCACATCTGACTCTGTGGGTAGCCATTGTAAGCCAATCTTATAAATTCTTATATATGTGTATATCTTGCATTAAATGTTTCTCTAGCAAGCACTGACTGATACAGCAGCTTTGCCATGAGGTTCCTGCCTTAAAGCCACCCAACCTTGAACGGAATCCCCCGAAACCATGAACCAAATTAAGCCTCTCCTGCTTTAAATTGTGCATGTCCAGTATTAGGTCCCAGCAATGGGAAAGCTGACTGATACAGTTCTGCCAAACAGGCTCAAGTTTCATTCCTGTACTTCCTTCATGTTTTACTGGAATGCCCCTGTTTCAGTGACTCCTTCCCTGACAAGTCTAAAATCCCTGGGGTCCATTCTATTTCTGAGACATAGCCTTCTCCTTTGCTTTTTCTCCATAGCTCTTAACTCTCTAATATACACATTTTTGCACTTACCTTGTTTTCATTACTCCTCCACTAGCATATAAGTTCTCTGAAGTAGGAATTTTGATGTTTTTTTTTTTTCATTGCTATATCCACAGTAGCACTGAGGGGTTGGGATAGGGTACTTGGCACATAGTACTCAAAACTATTTGTTGACTAAATCATTCAGTTTTGGATAATGCTAGGCAAGCATCAAGGCATCAAGAAATGTCCACCTGCTGGAGAAGTCTAACCTAGAGATACATATTTTGCTATCCTGAGTACAAGGAGGGAGTACAATAAAAAGAGAAATAGGTTGCAGATAAAAACTTATACAAGAATCTTTAGTGGCTATGAAGTACTTCAGCAATCTCAGCCATGACTGGATAGCACTCCTGGTTGTCCAATCAACACCCATTCTTCTCTGTCCCAACATTCTCCCAGCAGAATTTATTCCTCTCTTCCGCTGACCAACCAAGTGCTTCTTGGAGCTCCTAAAGCCTGGGGGGCTCATCTAATCCTCATGTGGTCCTACATCGTTCCCAGTTTTATGATGTGATGTGACTCTGGTCACTCGGTAGTTTACAGGCAAGGTTTCCATGCTTTCAAAAGATGATTTTCTATTCTATTTTCTATTCTATATACTCCTATTGCTATCTTGTTGATGCCAGTGACCTAGACAACAGAGTGGAGAGGTGGGGGAAAATGTTACTGATAGTGTGCTGAGCCCCCAAGACACCAACAGAGGCACTTTATCTCTGAACAGGGGCAAAATAATGGATGTCTTGTTTCCACTGCTTGGGATTGGTATTCTGTTCCATAACGGTAGAAACACTTTGATAAACTCATGTTCTATGTTTCCATGATATGGTGCCAACTTTTCTTTCTATGGTATGTCTACAATTCATCTACCCACACCCTCCAACTACATCTTGGGCTTTTGCACCACTGAGCCATTCTAAATGTATTTTGGACAAGATCCTCGCTGGTCAAAGTATCATCACTCATCAGTTATTTAAATGCCATTTTCTCCTCCAGCCGTTTCAGAATTTCCTGAAAACTTACATGGCCAGCACTAAAACCTGGCAATGTGCTTACCTCTAGCATTTACCATATGCCTTTTTGCTAGTGTTACACAATGCTAACACCTGCTTTGGGCCATAAATCAGAGGAGTTTGGGAGATAGCAATATAAAGGTTGACATTTACCAGGTAAGGTTTTAAGTATTTAACGTTTGTTAACACTTTTAATCTTCACAACAAACGCTATGAGATAAATTCTATCATGTTTTGCAGATTAGGAAAATGAAGTGCCTACAATCACACACACACATGAACTCCGCTGAGTGTTACAGGGTGGGTACCCTGCAGAACCTGGATTCAAACCAAGACAGCACTTAGCTGAACTGAAGGTTGAACTGCAAATGCAAAGAATGATTACAAGGGATACATATGCTCCACTCCCCAACAAGCTGCGAGATCTCTAGTACTAACTCCAAAGCATCTCCGTTTCTAGACACATACCCAGCCCATGACATTCTTCGGAGCGTGGGGTCTGACGGATTAAGGCTTGGGGGACCTGCGTCTTTCTCTCCAGTCTCAACAAACTGCCCACTCCTTTCCCAAAATTACGCCTGTAGGGCGGCCCTTGAGGATCAGTGCGCTCCAGGGTTCTCTGATGCCCTGCCAGAGTGGCGAGCACAGAAGGCGGTGGAGGAATGCAGAAGAGACTGTGGAAGGGCGCGGCGGCCGCGCAGGGGGCAGGATGTGGAGACGCCGGGAGACACCAAGAAGAACGCGTTTTCCCGGCCCGCACGTAACAGAGCCGGGAGCCTGGCTCGCAGGGCTTCGTCACTGGGGCAGCCGGTAACGCGGAGCCCAGCTTTCCTCTGAAGCCAGGCGAGGACGTCCTCTGAAACGGCAGGGACACGCGGGCCTGTGAGAATAGCGCTGATACCAGCCATGCAAGGCTACAACCCAAAACCTGGGGAGGTACCGCCGAAATTCCGGAAGAGCACCCAACCATCAAAGCTGCTGGACCCGCCCCGCCAGCTAGAAAGCGCCCAACGCACAGGCGCTCCAGAGGGCGGGGAACAGACTGACGGAGCACAGAACCGGAAGTGTCTCACGCCGGAACTGCCTGGAGGTCCCGCCCCCAGAAGAAGCGTCGGTTGCTGGGCAACCGGTGCCGGCGCCGCCTGCTGGTTCTGGGCTCCTTGGAGCCAGCGGGCTGTGGCTCCCACCTACAGCTCTGACAGCCTCCATTCCTCTCGGTCTCTTTGCGTGCCGCTTCTCCTCGCGTCACTAAACCCTTGCCCTTGGCACTACTTAACATCTCTACGCCTCCCGCGTTTTCTTAGTGCCCACCTGCAGCAGAGTCAAGCTCCAGCACAGGCGAGGCAGTCTGACCCCGGACCCTGCCTGCCAAAGCATAGCTCTCGAGTCATGGCCACCTACACCTACACCAGCCGACCCCGGGCCCTGCCCTGCCAGCGCCGCCGTTATCGGGACAGCCTGTTGCAGCCGTGAGTGACCAAACCAGCCCGTCCTCTTGCACTCCATTCCGGGGCCAGGTCCTGGCAAAAGTTGCCCGGGCTTTCTCTTGCCTGCACTCTGCCGAAAGAAATTTTCTGCAGTCAATAACTGCTACGGTGCGGAGGGATGAAGCAAGAAGGAGCATGGGTGGCCTCTCTTAGTTCATTTTAGTAATACTGAGTTGCTGGCATGATCCATAACATGTACATAAACCGCCTTATTTCACAAAGTTTGAGTCAACTAATGCTTACTGAGGACTAGCCTCGTATCAGACACTTCACTGGAAGCATTCACAACATTTTCTTAATCCATAGAGCTGCCAACTTGGTTTCACAACTCCATTATGCATATGAGGAACTGAGGCACAAAGGCATCAGACCCAACAAGTACAAATGACAGCCTCATAAAGGTCTTTCCACACTGTGTTTGGGCAGGAATTAGGTTATTCTTCCAAGCATGACCCCAAATTGTGTTTTTACACTGATGAATATTTACAAATGTTCAAACATGTATAGTTAGAAAAGACTGTACACCTTATGGTTCTTTTAAAGTTATTTATGTAAGCCTCAAATTTTGGAATCAGCAGAATTTCACAAGAATGCAAGTTGCATGGAAGGAAGGACTTTGTATCTCATTCACCTAGGACTATGCCTGGTGTGTAGTAAGCACTTAATATCAATTGTCCACGCAGTGACTGAACATCAGAAAGTAATTCTTCATGTTCATTTTACACACTGAATCTAAATTCATAGTTATCCTGTTCTGACAAAGGTTTTTTTGTAAGAGATTTCTAACACTTAAGAGAAAACTGAAAATAGAACATTTAAATTTGAAAAGGGATTATTTATTTTATGAAGGTTCAATTTAAAGAACTCTTTCTAAAAACAATCTTGGTAAAATTAAGTGGTTGCTCACAAATCATTATTATTAAATCATTGTTATTAAATCATTATTATTCAACAAGTTAGAAATGAGAATGCATACTGATTCATTTGGAACAGTTCTTATAAGTAGCTGATTTGTATATTATGTAATTTATTGAGTAATTGATCAGTGCATCAAAGTAATGCAGAAGACAGTAAAATCTCAATTTTAAGAAAGTAGTTGCTTACAGATCTTAATCATAGATATCCTTATGCATAAGGATGATATCCTTCTACAGAATCCTTAGGAATAAAGTATTGAAAAAGTGTCCAGGAGAATATCATTAGCTAAACTTTCTGGTGAATGATTAGAAGACTGTGGCCAAGAAAGTGTGCCTTTGTGTCAATCTGTCTGTATCAGATAAGGTCCTTAGTCATATCCTGTTCAAAATTTTATGTTAAACTAGATCAATCTTTTTAGCCTCTTTTCTACATCCTTACCAGCAATTAGTGTTTAGAGTTGTTCTCTTTTTCTAAAGATTGTTTTTTGTTTGGTTTAAATCTAGCCTCTCCTCTAAATTCCTCATGTGTTCAAAGGTGGGACTTTCAGAAAGTGATTGGATCATGGGGATGCTGTACTCATCCATGGATTAATCCATAGATGAGATTAATCCATACCGCTGAGTATGCTGTAGAGGTAGGGCCTAGTCAGAAGAGGCAGTCATTGGGGACTTGACCTGGAAGAGTATGTATCTCCCTTCTTGGCTCCTCCCTTCATTCTCTGCTTCCTGGCTACCATGATGAGCAGCTTTTCTCTGAAGTAGGCCATTCTGCCGTGCTGTTCGTGCATTTGGGCCTGCTAACTATGGACTGAGCATCTGAAACCAGGAGCCCAAATAAGCGTCTTGGTCTTTCATCCTGTAATTGTGTCCCAGCAACAAGACAGTGTCTAAGACAACTTTGTTTTGTTTTTTGGTTTTGATAAGGTCAAATCAAATTTTCCACATTAAATGTTGCTCCAGCTATGAGGCCAAGAGATTTTTTTTTTTTCAAAGTCAGAAAAAGATAGTTGTAGCTGTAAGCAATAGATGGATGCAGAGACTGTGGATAGAGTCAACAGTTTTTGCTACAACTAGGTGCAGGGATAGGGAAAAAGAAGGAGTCATGGATGACTCCCAGGCTTCTACATTAAGACAACTGTATGATTAGTGGCACTGTTCAATGAAATAGGAAATGTGCCATAAGTTGAAATAGGGGCATGATAATTAAATTTCAGAGTTGCCTTCCAGACATCCTAGTGGGCAGTTGGATATACCTAGAGTTCATGGGAGGGTTCTGAGCTAGAAATAAAATAAAATTGGTGTATGGATCATAACTGAAGCTTTGCAAGCGAATGAGATCATCTTAGGAAAAGACCAGGTGGAGCCTTAAGGGCTCCGCTACTACAAAAGGAGCTACAAAGACTTGACAAAGAGCAGCCAGAGAAGTAGCAAAACACAATCAGAATAAACTGGTGAAGAAAGAAATTAAAATTTAAAAAAGAAAAGAAAAAAGAAGAATATATTTGTATGACAGGGAAATAGAAAAGAGCACTTACATGAAACAGTGCCCTGCGGAGCTGAATACTGCCAAAGGCCAAGTAAAACGAGCAGTGAAGTATATAAGGATGTGGCTTCAATATGTGATAAGCTAGCAACTTATGTACAGTCAGATCATTTCTGATAGAGTGCTGTTATTAGTCTAGGTTGAGGTCTGGCTTTATAGCTATTAATAGGTTATGTTACTAAGAACTTAAAATGAAAATGTCAACTATATATTTGTATTTTTTACCATTGATCATTCTGATCCCTGAAATTAGAATTTTATTAATAGTTTAAACAGTACCTTTTAAACATTTGGATTTAAAGAACAATGAGAAATTTGACTTATTTTATTTTTAAGCCTGATTTTTTTTTTTTGTTTGTAACTTTTCAATCCTCAAATTAAGCTTTCTTTTCAGTCCTTTAGGTTTGGTTCCTTTTCAGACGGCCCATTTTCACATTTCTTAAGTGAAATAAGATTTCAGATTTACAGCATAAGTCCAGCTCTGCCACTTACTAGCAAGATGACTTTGAGTCCCTTTCCTCTTGTGTCAAATAAGAATTATAGTTCCCAAATCAAAGCTTGTTGTGAGCAATAAATAAAGCAATATACATGAAAGAGCCGGACATACAGTAAGCATTGCACAAACGGTAGCTATTTGTCTCCTTGTTTTATGGACCGCACTAAAACAGAAATCTATTCTCTTATAAATAATTTATGTTAATCCAAATCATATTAGAAATGAGTTTTCTTCAGAGATACCATAGATAAAATATTTACTTAGCACTTGCTGTTTTCCAGAGAGGAAGAACCTGTGCGTTATGGAAACATAATGTATGACAGACGAGTGATCCGAGGCAACACATATGCGCTACAGACAGGGCTGCTGGTAAGCACATTTTGAGTAGTCTAACACGGAGCTCTCTCACTGTCCATGGGCAAGCATCAGTTTGTGTATTTGTGTCTATTTCGGAGCCACTGAAGACTAAAAAATCAATAAAATGAAATAAAACTGAATTACTAGGAAAACTGAATTTTCATGAAAGATATGCAGGAAGGGTAAATGTATCTCAGTGGTGTAGTGCTTACATAGCATCCACAAGGTCCTGGGTTTAATCCCCAGCACCATAGAGGGGAGGGAAATAAACAAATATGTGTGTGTGTGTGTGTGTGTGTGTGTGTGTGTGTGTGTGTTCTCCAGTGTGCTTGCCAAAAGCTCAAGAGAGGGAGGTATTATTTAATAAGCATACAGTTTCAGCTCTGGAGTGGATGGTGATGACGTTTATAGAACAATGTCAATGCCACTGAATTGTATATTTAAAAGTAATTAAAGTAATAAGCTTTACATTATGTATATTTTATCATACTTGAAAATAATAACTTTAAAAGCCCTAATTCTTTATTAAACTCAAGAGAACTCTAGCAAATTGCTCTAAAAATTTCTAGACTTTTACTGTCAATTTCTGTAGTTGTTATAGACCGATTTAAATATTCTATAAACATAGGTAGTCTGAGGACCATACTTTGGGTAGAACTGTCTACTGCATTTAGGTTTGTTTAGCTGTGTCACACTCTAATACTATTATCATTTCATCAAAAAGTCTGAGTTATGCTTAATTCAATCAGTACATATTTACTGGGATTTTGGTCCTGTACTGGGTACCTAGGATACAGCAATGACTAAGACATGGTATCAGATTACAGTAGTAATTTCTTGGCACGGAAATGAGATATAGTTAACCTATAAGCAGTATGTGACATGTATAAGTACCTAGCACATAATTGTTTTATGTGGAGTGTTAGTCTAAAGCCGTAACTCTCATAGCTGTCTCTGCATCAGAATCGCTGGGAAAAGTTATTAAAAACATATAGGCTTCAGCCCTTCTCTGCATCTCCTGCATTAGAACCTATAGGGGTAGGACACAGGAATATGAACTTTTAATAAACATCTCTAGACAATTCTGCTACAACCAGATCAGGGTCAGCATAAATATGTGATCTGGATATATATTTCAGCAATTTCTTTTATCTGTACTGACACACATAAACCAAAAGTGGAAAAAGGGATCATCTTTGGTTTTTTCAGTGGATTAATCAGCACTTTACCTTAAAAGTCTGCCCTGAGATTCCACTTTCATACAAGTAGGAATTCACACATTCCTTTTCCCTTACAGCTTAAAAAAAGGGAGGTACAATAACAGAACAAACATAAGACTTGTAAAGTACAGAGAAGAAAGCAGACTAGCTAGGAACTTTGGAACTTGAGGAATGGCACATTCCTCACTTGAGGAATGAGTCCCTGGGTTTTGTTTTTGCCTCCTTCCTAGAGCCTGCTTCCTCTCACCAAGGACTAGGAAAGGGGCAATCTTACAGACCAGAAAAATACTTTTGATAACACAACCCCCAGCCAAACAATAATAGAAAAACGAGCCACTCCTCCCTATGGTACCAATGAGGCTAAGAGGAAGTGCACTTCCGTCCCCACATGGCAACAAGACAGTGCAAATCAGCACTTTGCCCCTTGAGGTGGCATCAACAAGGGTGGAGCAGGAAGCTGACCTATGCTCACCCAAAGGCAATGAAGTAGTGAGAAATGGCATGAGCCCTTTGTGTGGTGGTGTCAGCAGAAGCCAAAGATGAATTTTCTGTTCTGTCTGATAGGGACAAGGAGAATCAAGGTTAGATGAGATAGTGCTTGGTCAGTGCCTTGATCCTCTCAGAGAAAAAACAGATGAGAGAGAGAGAAAGAGGGTAGGGGAGACACAGCCAATCTTAGGGAGTTAAAGAGTAATAAAGGATCTGCATTCACATTATTGGAATCCCAGAAGGACAAGAGAAACAGTATGGGATGGAAAAAATATTTGAAGAAATACTGCCTGAAAACTTCACAAATGTAGTGAAAGATCTACATGTTCAAGAAGCTAAGTGAACCCAAAGATAAATCCAAAAAAAGGCGTTATAAAGCCACATCAGAGTTAAACTTCAAAAAACTAAAATCAAAAAACCTTGAAAGGAACTGGATAGAAATTGTAAGAAATGGTGTGAGGCAGAGACCAGCCAAGACCACCAGGCTTATGTAAAGGCAACTTGGTGTGGAATCTGTTGTGCCTGGTTGCAGGTAGACAGAGGGTAAAAAGGTCGTCTATAGGGAACAAAGAGGAGTGGGCCTTTTTATAGGGCTTGAAAGAAGGCAAGGATAGCAGGTGGGAAGATCTTATTAAACATTAGGGGTCCAAAGTTCTGTAAATTCCCAGTGCCTCGGTGGGCAAAGTCCTCGGAGCATCTGATGCAAGTGTTTGGGTGTCTTCAGATGGCCCAGTGCTTGGAAGATTCCATGATCCATCTTATCTCTTTTTACAACACCCTCTATTTATCTAGGGCAGCCCCATTGCTGAGCTGAGTCTCCACTGAGAACAATGCCTCTGCTGGCAAACAGGTTGGGTGCTGGGAGTGTCATGCCCAAATTGAGCCTGACAGAAATAACATGTTAACTGAGGAAAACCAATGATTTGAGTGACAGTGGATTTCTTGCCTGAAACATGAGGCCAGTCCTAAAAGCAAAAGACTATCAAACTGTAATTCTAACCCAGTGGAATGCGGCATTGGAAACTATGTCCAGGGTGACTGAGCCTGGCTTCCAGTATAAGGAAGTTAAACTTATATTTAGAGCTGCATAAGGGAACATAAAGTCATAGGCACTCACTATACCCACAGAAAGGTAGGAAAAAGGAAACAAATGAAAAAGAAAAAACAGAAAACAAAAAATGGCAGACTAAGCCCTAACATATCAGTAATTAAATGCAAATAGGTTCTAGCAAGACTGACAAAAAGAAAGAAGACGTAAATTAAAATAACAGGAATGAAGGGCCAGGCCTGGTGGTGCCTGTAATCCCAGCACTCGGGAGGCTGAGGCAAGAGGATCGTTGCAAGTTCAAGACCAGCCTGGGCTACAAAGTGAGCACAAGGCCCGCCTCAACTGCATAGCAAGACCCTGTCTCAAAAAGGAAAAAAAAAAGGAATGAATATCGGGATATAACTATAGATTCTGTCACCAGTCAAATGTGAAAAGGATAATGCAGTACTGCTAAAGAGACAGATGAAACCAAAAGTTCTTTTTTACTGCTGTCCACTGTCACACCAAACACAAATATTTCCCCTCTGTGACCCCAGAGGGTTTTCCCCTACACATCAACCAAGTAATTCTCCAGCTTATTTAGTGGACTTCCACTAAATATCCTCTAATTCCATTCAATTCTTAAACTATCTATCTGGAGATAACAGCAGATCCCACAGGTTAGGGTCTCAGTCCCACAAAACTACCTCCTCCACTTAAAATGCCAGTCGCAAGCACGGGTTGTGATCAATACTTCTGACCAAGTAGTATGTTAGGGTTCCCATGATGCCCTGCTTGGTGTCATTTAATTTGTTAGAGTCACTCAGAACTCAAGGGAACACTTTCTCACATTTTCCAGGACATTATAAAGTATATTACAGAGGCTATGGATGGAAGAGATACACAGATCAAGGTGTATGGCAAGGGGTGCTGAGCTCTATGTGCCACCCTCCAGGTACCTCCACCCATTCAGCTATCAATAAACCCATCTGAACCTGACCTTTTGTTTTGTATGGAGGCATCATTAGGTAGGCATGACTGACTGATTCAACTTAATCTTCAGCCCCTCTCTCTATCTCAAGAGGTTGAAGGGTAACACTGAAGGAATCCACCCTCTAATCATGCCTTGGTCCTTTGGGTAACCAGTCCCCACCCTGAAGTTGGACCCATAGCCACCAGTCATCTCATTAGCATCCAAAAGACAGTCATGTACGTCTGGAAATTCCAAGGGTTTTAGAAGTTATGTGCCAAGAAATGAAGATAAAGACCACCTATGTTTTATAATAAATCTCAATATCATAAATGTAAACAAATAAATCTACAATGTAAATTCAACAACATAAATTAAAAGGGCCAATTCTTCAAACTACGAACTTATCAGATTTACCTAATATAAAACAGAAGTTCTAAATAGTCCTATAACTATTAAAGAATCTGAATTTCTAATTTAAAAGCTTCTAAAAACCTTCAGACTGAGATCATTTCACAGGAGAATTCTACCAAGCACTTAAGGAAGAATTAGCACCAGTTCTATACAATCTCTTTCAAAAAATAATAGCAGCACTTCCAAATTGATTTTTAAAGCCAGCATTATTACTGTGATACCCTAATCAAACAAAGACAATACAATACAAAGAAAAAAACTTGGACCAAAATCTCTCCTGAACTTACATGCAAAAATCCACAATAAAATTTTAGCAAACAGAATCCAGCAATAAATAAAAAGTTATATACCATGACCAAGTGGAATTTTTTACAGGAATGCAATAATATTCCAATATTTGTAAGTCAGTGTAATCAACCTGTAGTTAAAGAAAAAGAATCCCGTAATCACATTTATTGATCCAGAAAAAGATTGAATTGAATTCAACACTCATTTATGATAAACATAGCAAATTTACAATTGAGTGAACTTCCCTCAACTTGATGAATACTTCCCTACAACTAATATCGTAGTGAGGTGAAGCTGACTGCTTTTTTCCTAATACTGGGAACAAGGGAAGGATAACTGCTTTCACACTCTTGTTCAACACAGTGCTAGAAGTTCTAGTTAGTGCTAGAACCAAACTTAGAAAGGAAGAAGTAAAACTGTTGCTAATTCCAAGTGATGATTATCTACATAGAAAATCCCAAGGAATCCACAAAAAAAGATCCACAACTAAAGTTCCAACAACATCACAAGATACAAGATCAACACACAAAAATCAGTAACACTTTATATACTGGAGAGGAGCATAATGAAAAATAAAATTAAAAACATGATACCATTTGCAATCACTGCCAAAAAAACAGAAGTACCTAGGTATAGATCTCACAAAACATGTGTGGAATCAGTAAGATAAAAATTACAAGATTCTGATGAAGAAATCAAAGAAGATGGAGGCTAGTGGATATACCATGTGCACAGGTTAGAAGAGTCACCATATCAAAGAGGCCAATTCCCAAGCTAGGGATACAGCTCAGGGGTAGAGCGCTTGCCTGTCAAGCAAGGGACTGTAGGTTCGTTCCATCTCCAGCACTTTTTCTAGAAAATGTTAATTTTCCCAAAATTTATGTGTAAGTTTGACAAAATTTCTAACAGACTTCCAGAAGATTTATTTAGATCTAGACAGCCTTATTCTTTCTTTCTTTTTGTTTGCACATGCGCATGTGTGTTGCCGGGAATCAAACTCAGGACCTCATGTACACCATTGAACTATACCCTCAGCCCCAGACAGACTTATTCTAAAACTTATATAGAAAATCAAAAGAACTAGAAGAGTTAAAACTGTCTTTAAAAAGAAGAATAAAGTGGGAAGAATCACTCTATCCAATGTTAACACTTTCTATATAGATCTACTTATCAAAACAGGGTGGTTTTGGTAAAGGATGGTCAAAAGGATCAGTGGAACATGGAAATACGCCCAACTAATTATTTTCAAGGGAGTAAAGACAGTCTTGTTGTTCTTTGCACAGTACTCAGGCCTGAACCCAGGACCTTTGCACTGAACCACATCCCCAGCACCTTTCTGTTTTCTATTTTAAGACAGTCTCAGTAAGTTGCCAAGTTGCCCTGTTGGGTTTGAACTTTCAGTCCTTCTGCCACAGCCTCCCACAGTGCTGAGATTGCAGTCATATGTTACCACACCTTGCTAAGGCTGTCTTTCCAACAAAATTAATTGCTGGAACAACTAGACGCATAGGCAGGAAAATTAAACTTTGATCTTAACCTCACACTATATACAAAAATTAATGCCAATGGATCATGGGTTTAAAGATGAAACTATAGAACTTTTAAAATAAAATATAGGAGAAGACGTTCAGAACTCAGGGCCAGGTGAATGTTCTTAGACATGACATTAAAAGTATGATTTATTTTCAAAAAATAATAAATTGCATTTCATCAAAAATAAAACCCTGTGATGCATGAAAAACCTTATAAGATGAAATGACAAGTCCAAATAAATCTGCAAACTGCTTAGCAGCAAAAGCTTATGTCTTTAATATATAAAGAACCCTCAAAACTCAAAAGTAAACAACAAAAAACAAGCCAACTAAAAAATGATCAAATGATGTAAGCAGACATTTCACCCAAATGAGGAGATATTGATTGCAAATATGCACATAAAAAGATGTCCAAAATTAGCCACTGTGAAAGTACAAATTTAAAAATCACAATGATATACTTGCACCTTTTGGCAGAGGGGAGACAAAGGCTCACTATGTAGTCCAGGCTGGCCTCAAACTCATGGCAATCCTCCTTCCTCAGGATTGCTATGATTACAGGCAATGCTTCACCATGGCTAGTTTACACAACTTAAATTTTAAAATAATGGTAGTAGCAAGTACTTAAAAGGATGTAGAGCAACTAGAACTCTCACATATTGCTGATGAGAATGTAAAATAACACATCCGCTCTGGTAATTGTTCAGCAGTTATTTATAAAACTATACATGCACATAACTATTCAGTCTTATACTTGCATTCTTATTTATCCCAGAGAAATGGGAACTTATGTTTATACATAAACCTGCATATATACACTCATAGCATTACAGTAGCCCACAACTAAGAATACATTGTTAGTCAGCTTTTCATAGCTATGACAAAATACTGGAGAAAAAACAGCTAAAAGGAGAAAAGGTTTATTTTGGCTTACAATTTCAAAGGTTTTAGCCCATATTTGGCCGGCTCTGTGGTTGTAGGGTGAAGACAGAACGTCATGGTGGCAGGAGTGTGTAGCAGAGGACCTACTCATCTCACAACAGTCAGGAAGCAAAGGGAGAAAGCACCAGAGAGTAAGGGGCAGGGGACAGGATAATAGTCCACAAGGGAATGTCCCTGAGACACATTCCCTTCAACTGGGGCCCACCTCCTAAACTTCTGTCAACTCCCAATAATGCAACCAGATTACAGACTCATCAGTGAATTAATCCACTGATAAAGTTAGAGTCCTCTTGAGGACACTAACACTTTCCCAAATTCCACCTCTGAACACATGAGCTTTTGAGCGACAGTTTAGATCCAAACCATAACACACACCCTCATCATTCTTCAAAGGATAAATGATGAACAAACTGGTGTGCCCAGACAATCAACTACCACTTAGTACATATGAAAAAAAAAAAAAACCCACAACTGAACAACTCAGATTGAGAAAGCCAATCTCACCAGGCATGGTGCCAACATGCTTATAATCCTAGCATTCAGAAGGTTGAGGCAGCAGAGTTGCCACAAAGTCAAGGCCAGCCTGGGCTGCACAGTGAGTTCAAGGCCAGCCTGACTTATGTAGCAAAACCTTGCCTCAAAAAAAAAAATTGTTTTAATAAAAAGCCTATCTAAAAAGATTACATGCTTCATGATTCCTTGTCTATAATGTCCCTGCCCAAAGAAAGCTATTATTTCAAAATAGCTGGTAGAAGGATTTGACTGTTCCCAACACAAAAAGGTAGATACACCAATTACTCTGATCTGATGATTACAAGTTATATAAATGTATTGCTACGTCACACTGTCCTCCGCAAATATGTCCAATTACTATGTGTCAACTGAAAATAAAAATATATTTTTAATAACTGTAAAGATGGAGAACATAATACTGGCTGCCAAGGGGGCACAGGTGGGAGTGGGACTTGGAAGCAAAAACAGGAGATCTGAGGGAGCATCTCTGCGGTGATGGGCCAGGTCTATCTCATGACTGTGGGCATAATTTCATGAGTCAGCATCAAGGTAAAATCACATAAGCCACAAACAGAGACACCGACACTAATCGATAAAGGTTATGGTTGTGAAAATCAAATGAGCTCTGTTAACAGTATTTTTCCCCTGTTTACTGCCTTACTTTGGTATTGTGCTATATTAGATAACATGTCAGCATTAGGGGAGGTGTATGAAAGGCACACAAGACTAACTCTACTATTTTTTTGATCTCTTATGAGTTATTCCAAAAGAGAACTTTTTTAAAAAGTATTGTGACTAGACCATGAAACAGTTTGGTTGGGCAATATATTTCTAAAATGAACTTCTTGCTTTTAACACCCTACTCTTCTGAGAGCTGAGATTTGTAATTCTATGAAGAAATAGATGTGGAAATAAAGACAGTATTAATAAAAGTATAGAATAAATACACAAAGGAAAAAGTCTTCACTGAATGATCTCAAATTGATAATAATAATTGTATTAGACTAATTGAATTACAGGCAGTTCTTTTTCTTTTTTGTCATGTGGTTTTACTATTTTAAAATGAAAGGATATGATAATGAGGTAGCAAAAGAATTGCTTTATATCAAATATTGTGTTAAGCTCCTTACCTTGTCTTCTGATTTGTTTCTTATAACCAAAACCTTAGGTAGATTTAGTATTCTCATAGTGCAGATGAGAAAACTATCTAAAATAACTTTGGTTGTTACTTGAAGTTTTACTGATTGTTATGTTTTGTGTCTGGATGTCCCCCCAAAGCCTCATGCAGTCATGGACGCAGGCTTCTAGATTTTATGATTCATTGATGGTACAGTATTGGAATTATGGATGTGAGTGCTACACCTACCCTGAGGTAGTTAGTTTGCATACAGTGTAAGGAAGGAAAAAATCCTGCTTGCTCCCCACTCCTCCCTTGTGCTCTTGTTGCTTTTGCTGTCTTTCACCGCCATGAACAGTTGCCCTCTGCCATGTGCCACCCTACCTTGGAGCCAGCCAAGTATGGACTGAAGCCTCCACAGACTGTGAGCTAAATAAACCTTTACTTTCTTAATTCTGGGTGTCAGGTATTTTGTCTCAGTAACAAGAGAAAAGTAACCAAGACACTAATCCTAGTAATTAATAAGTTGAGAAGTTGGAATTTGAACTTCAGACATAGGTGCTCTCATTTACTCTGTATACTGTAAACATGCAGAAAAGTTTATGGTAGATAATATTAGAGTGATAATATAAAGCATGTATGGTATCACACAGCTTCAGAAAACACTGCATTTAAGTGGTATGGGATCATAGGTAATTTTCTGATTTTAAAAAATGTTAATGTTACTACATTGTCATTTCAATTAAAATGAGTTTAAAATTCTAATTTTAAATGTTTATCCATGTGAAATATTTTCACATATCCCTTCTTAATTTACCTTGAGATAAGATAAACAAACTGTAGAGAATGATTACAAAATAAGATACAGGTATAAAAGAAGAACCTCCAAGTGCTGCAAAACTGCTGTGAACAATTAAGTTTACAACCACTTTGTCAGCTTATTTTTTACACTTGGAGAGGCTTCTTTTTGAAGACATTTTCTTTGTGAGCTAACACATTTTTAAGAAAATTCTGTTAAAATTAAATTCAAATTTTAAAAATCCTACTTTTCAATTTCTTAAGTATTCATTAGAGTCTATTGTTACAGAGTAGTCATATCAGTTTTACTAGGAACTGAAGGATTTAGTGGTAATGCTTGAGTGAGGAAAACATGTATTAATTAGATAGGATTCTGTAATTAGATAGGATTACTCCTGTTACAGGCATACTTGAAGTAACTTCTATGCTTTGTCAGACACCTGCATATTACCTGACAAAGTTCCAATAAAATTTTAACCATCAAGTCACTGACAATCAAGAAGCATTCTTATAACATACGCTTTACTGTTGTCCAGCCCTCACTGTGGAATGGCAGTTCTTACATATTTTGAGAAATATGCTCTGACTGTTAGAAGCCTTTTCTGTCCCTCTCAGCCTGGGCAGCCTGATCCTGTAGAGGTGCAGAGACAGCAGCAGGTTAAGAAGAGGACTCTTGCCAAAAAACGAGCTCAAGAGCAGCTCAGATCGTGGACACCAGAACCCGTAGAAGGCAGGAAGCATGTGGACGTGCAGACAGGTGATTTTGCTGTTGCCGTGTGCCTCCTTGACTTACATAGTTGTCTGTGCCTGTTCCTTTGTAATAAGCATTTATGTTACTTAGTATCTGTAGTGTTCTCCAGTCCTTCTCAGTCACACAACAGGGAAGTCCATTCCTTAAACAAACACACAAGATGTATATTATTATTATTATATTGCATATGGCTAGAAGTATGGGCTGGGATTAAAATAAGAGTTTTATGACCAAATTAATTCTTTCTTTACCTTTTTCACATATACTATTTCAAACCAGGATTGTTTGTTACAGCCCAGTATGAATCAGTGTTCTTTTCTTTTTTCAATTTTTATTACCACATGTTGGTGGTATGTAAGTTTACAGTCATTTTAGGGACTAGGTATATGTACTTAAGGTGTCATAATTCTTTTTATTCCCCTCCCTCTCCATCCCTCCCCCACCATCTCTAGATTCCTTTCCCATTTGCAAAAGATCAATCTCCCTGTTTCCTGTTGTTTTTTTATTTTTTTAATTATTTATGCTTTAGGCTTATCATATAAGAGAAGTTATCTGCTATTTAAGCTTGTATGTCTGATTTATTTCACTTAACATTACAGTCTCAAGGTACATCCATTTTCCTACAAATTACTCAAATTCACCCTTCTTTGTGGCAGAGTATTACTCCATTATATATAAATACCACATTTCCTTTGTCCATTCATTTGTTAATGGAAAGATAGGCTGCTTACAAGGTTTACCTATTATGAATTATGCTGCTGTAAACATGGATGTTATGACTTATCTAGATGTCCCCCCAAAGCCTCAGGAAGTCATAGGTGGGGCTTTTTGGAGGTGGCTGGATCTAGGGTATGTGATGCTGGTATCACGGATGTGATGTTGGGATTGATTCACCAGTGCTAGGATTAAGAGTGTGAGTGCTACCTGCCCTAACAGTAGCCTGGATATGATATAGGGGACAAAAAGATCTGCTGTGTTCATTGCTGGTCATTTGTTGCTTGCTGCTTGGTGCCTGCTGCCTGCCTGCTTCGCAGTGCCCCTTTGCAGTGCCCCTCTCCATGCCACCCTGCCCTGGAGCCAGTCAATTATGAACTGAAACATCTATAAACTGTGCACTAAATAAGCCTTTCCCCTTTAACTTTGGGTGTTGAGTATTTTGTTTCTGCAACAAGAAAAGTAACTAAGACAACGGGTATGCATGTATCACTGCAGTATGATGACTTTAACTCTTTTGAGGAGATACATAACTAAGTCAAGTGAAATTTCTAGTTTTAATGTTTTGAGGAATCTCCATACTGAGTTCCCTGGTGTTGTACAAATTTAGATTCCCATCGACAGTGTAGAAGGATGGTGCCTTTTTGTTTTCCTTTTTCTTTTTCTTTTTCTTTTTTCTTTCTTTTTCAAGACTAGGAAGAAGCTATTGGAAGGAAGAAAAGCTTGTCTAAGAGAACAAAGGGGGCCTGGAAAGTGGGCTGTGCAGGTCCTTTTTCCCTGTTTCCTCAAATCAGTCTTCTTTTCATTGAGACTTCTAGGAGAGAAGAGCAGTGTATTTCTGTTTTGGCATTTTATTTGTCTTTTGAAAGGAGTAAGCTCTCTCATATCCAAGTCGTCTGCCTTTCACACAAGCCTTTTTTGTGCTCTTCACTTTGTGTGGTCTCCAGGGCCACACAGGTCCTCCTGAGGCAGGTGCCAGGACTTTCTCCTTGTCTCACTGTTATCAGTTGTTGAGACTTACCTGGACCTATAGGTTCCAGCTGTGTTGTTGACAGAATTCTTGGTAATCTGACAATTCTTGGTGTTTCCCTTTGACTAATGTAACTTCTTAAGATTCACCTTGTACACTGCCAAGATCATGAGCCAATTCATCAGGGTTATTTTTGTAGTAAAATGAAGAGAATCATTCTTTGGTTTATACTATCAGAATATTAAGTGATACAAGAGTCACTTTTTGCTTGGGCATCTCCTCAGAGATTATACCAGGTCCTTTGCTTCTGTAGCTTCTCTATTCTGGCAAAGATTCCATACCACAAGTAATTGTAATCCTTTTTATACGTGGAGAGACTGAGGCCCAGAGAGGATGTATCTTGGCTAAGTCCTGCACTTGACATCCGACTCCGGAATGCCTGTGCATCATAGGATACCACATCAGCCCCGCTTCTGATAAGTCATTCTTAACATGAGATTTGTTTCACATCACTGTTTATAATCTGTAGAATAATATTGTCATGTGCTGCATGAATTTTTTAAATAATCCAGGAGTTTTCAAATCTTTATACATTTACTCTCTTATTACTCAGTCACATATAGGTATCATTAATTTGTCATTCCCTATTACACTTTGAATCTTATGTACACACTGATGGTCTCATGTTCTTCTTTGAAAACTTGTTTGAAGTTCTACCAGGGGAGCACATCTACGCTATACCCTTGACTGAAGAAATGGTCCTCCTCTATCAGGGGTGGTCACCCTCTTCCACTGAGCTCACAGCTTCACACTTCAGCAGGGACACACATGGACTGGTGAGGGAGGAGTGCAATACTCGCCTAGCCAGTCAGATCAGCCAGATCAACCCTGGCCGTCAATGGGATGACAGATGTCACAGCCAGACCACCCTCACATCATCATGTTATTCTTTATTCCAGTTTCCTACTGTGAATTTCAGTAATTTCTAGACATTTAGTAAATTTTCTACCCTGACTGACTCTACAATCTTCCAAATCTCTTAAGTCATCACTCAGTATATGAAGTGCACCTTATTCAAACACTGTTATTGGGTTTATCTTCTGATTCATTTAATTCTCTTAGAAAGAGCTGAAATTTCAATACAAGTATGTTTGAAGTAGACCAGAATGTCAAACTAAGTGTCTGTGTTATTATTCTTAGAATTATATCTTGAAGAAATTTCTGACCGTGTAATAGAAGTTGATATGGAATGCCAAACAGATGCGTTTCTGGACAGACCACCAACACCACTTTTTATTCCTGCCAAAACTAGCAAAGATATGGCCACTGAAATACTAGAAGGAGAGGTAAGTACACTCCTGTGATTTCCTTCTATCTTTATAAATGAGGTAAAATTGGGTTTAGGTAAAGCTTACTATAGGCATGAAGCACTTCACAATCAGAAAGATTCTAGTTTTGGGCTTTTTTGCTAAATGTTACTTTAATAGTTTTATCCTCTAGTATCTAAAAATGTTTTTAAATAACCTGTTCTGATATTTCCTCTTTGCTTGCCAAAAATAAATTATTAGAAATAGTTGTAGAATATTTCTAAATTTTATATATTTGGTTAATATATGTACATAAAATAGATTCGTACAGTATAAGGGAGGATAATATATCTGGCATAAGAGACTCCAGTCTTGGTTGTTTACAGGTTACATAACTTTTATGAAGACACTACTTCTATTTTTAAAATCTGAATTATATTTTCCTATCAATGTGGAATGCATCACAAGTTCACTAAATTAAAAAAATGCATTGATTACATGCATAATGACCTAAGTGAGATTTATAATTTGAAGGAACTTAGAAGAATGGTCATTTAAATTAGGGAATAAAATAAGTCTTCAGAAGCTACATAGAAGGACATATTTATCTCTAAATCCTAGACATGAGTCACTTAAAATATCTATTATATATATGTGGTACTGGGGCTTGAACTGAAGTACAATCTACCACTGAGCTACATCCCCAGCCTTTTATTCTTCCTTTTTTTCTTTCTGTTTTGTTTTGTTTTGTCTTGTTTTTGTTTTTGTTTCGTTTTGGTTTTGTGAGGCAGGGTCTCACTGAGTTGCCCAGGCTGGCCCTAAGCTTGAGATTCTCTTTCCTCAGCCTTGTAAGTAGCTGGGGTTACAAGTGTACTCTACCATACCCAGCTAAAATATTCATTATTCTTCCTTAGTTCATCACACTATTATTTTTAAAACAGCCTGTAAAAAATCAAGCAGGAAAGGCGAGAATAAGACAAGAATATTTTCCTTTCGTTTTAAAGTTTCATCTTAAAACTGTTGCATATCAAAGTTCATGTTAATGAATACGTGGGGTTTTTTCATAGCTTTGACTTAATAGATTTTGCTTATCAATAAAATGCTGTTTTGGTACCTTGTTTTGAGAATTAGAAACCACACAAGGTGCCAGCTCAGTGTTTGTTACATAGACAGCAATATTTTGATACCGTTATTGCTATTCCCCTCCCACTTCCCTCCTCTTCAGACTCCCCCTCCCCTTCTCCTTCTGCTTCTCCTCCTCCTCCTTCTCCTTCTCTTTCTTCCCCCACCTCCTCCTCCACCTTACCTTCTCTTTCTTTTTTTTCTTCTTTTTTGTAATACCAACGATTAAACTCAGAGCCTTGCCCTGAGTCACAGCCCCATCCTTTTTCCTTTTCATTCTTTATTTTGACACAGTGTCTCACTATGTTCCCCAGACTAACCATGAATTTGTAATCCTCTTGCCTCAGCCTCCTCAGTAACTAGAATTACGATGTTATTTCTATTCTTTATAGTTTCGCATCTAGTTCATTATTAAAATGCTACTTTCTCTTGTGTGTTTAGCTCTTTGATTTTGATCTCGAAGTTAAACCAATGCTAGAAGTTTTGGTGGGCAAGACAATTGAGCAGTCCTTACTAGAAGTGATGGAAGAAGAAGAGCTGGCCAACCTGCAGGCCAGTCAGTATGCCTATGAAGAAATGCGCAATGTTGAGTTGGCTGAAGTCCAGCGACTGGAAGAGCAAAAGAGACGACACCAAGAAGAAAAAGTACTGATTCTGTGAATTCTATTTTTCTTTCTTAGGCAGTCTTGTGTTGTTGTTGTGTTGTTGTTGTCCTTGGGATTGAACCCCAATGACTCTCACATGCTAGTTACTTCCTCTACCACTAAGCCACATCCTTTACCCTCTTAGTCTTTTGGATACTTTATATATACTGTGTTCAGAGTTACATATGGTGTGTGATAAAACTAAAGCTCTTTGAAAATCTGCTAGAAAAAAACCTTTAGTATTTGTTGCTCAGATCTCTCATTTAGATTATAGATATTTCATGGATTGACTGACATTTTTTAAATTTCAGTTTACATAGAATGTATCTAGGTTGAGTTTCTACATGACCTGTGTCCCAATTGAAAGATACTCTTAAATATGGGGCATCATAGAGAAAGAACTCTACTGATGAGCCATAATTGAGTGGCAGAAAGATGAAAGGAAGGAAAAAGTGGAATGTACTGGGGCTTTCTGGGCATTAAGAAGCTGAGGATTGGGATGGAACTCTGTCTGTTTTTCAGTGGTCAGACCCTTCTCTCTACCCTTAAAAGCACTTCAGAACTACTTGAGTCCTTACCCAGTATTTTTCAGATTATAGGTTTTACAAACCTTCAAAAACAAAGTTTTATGACTCAGGTTTTTAAAAAAATATTCCAATAGCTTGCAGTTAGGAAACTCCAGACTCAATAATCTTCATGGGCTTTCTGGTTCTAACAATGACTGTCATCCTCTGTTGTTCACCAAATGAATAAATTAGAAAGTAGTACCTGCTTGCCTAAAACCCAGCTAAAATTATCTCCCAAAGGCCCAACTTACTAATGAAGCATAGCTTGTTTGTTAGGAAAACCTATTTAATCAACTGCACTTCAAGTTTTATTCCAGAATGAGCAATCGTGTAAAGAGCATAGGGCTTATGGTAAGGACTGTGCAAATCTAAGACTTCATTTACAAGTATAAAATAAAGACTTACCAAAAAAGCTTTACTGAAATAATCAGTGAAATCTTTATCAGAAAGTGTTTATTTACCACTAGAAAATACATTACGGGAAAAAAGAAAAATATAAATGTCCTAGATTTATATTTGCTTTAAACTTTGAAAATAGATACAATTAGAATATATAGTAATGCTTCTGTTTCTACATGGGAGTAAAGAAGATTGTTCTTTAGCTTTAGTTAGTCAAAAGGAACCAGCAACAAAAAATAAGCTTAATATTCAGATAAGCTTCATTTCAGCTTTATGAATTCAAAAAGTTATAACTGAATTAGTTCATTGCCTTAAATTCTTTAATTGAAGATGTCTAAACAGGTATAATTTTCATATCAGTATTAAGTTATGATAATACTAATGAAAAATACACATATCATTATGCTTTTGATAGCACTCAGTCAAGCATATATATTTTGAAATTACTTTCCTTGAAAATGGGTCAGAAATGAGTTTTAATTAAGCACCATTGTTTTGTTTTGCTTTGTTTTGTTTCTTTTTGCAGGGCTGCAATCCAACCCAGGACCTCATACATGCCAGACAAGCACTCTAATCCCCAGCTCAAGCTCCATCTTTTATATCTTTCTGAGTTCAGTACCCAGTAGCTGTTACTCATCAAAATCTTGACAAAAAGCATGCATCCTTAATAGACACCTTGCTGTCCATTTTTTTTTGATAAGTCCAAATATTTTGACTTATGTACTTCCCTAGAGTCAGTACCTGAGGAGAGTGTGCTACCTGAGTAACCATCCACGATAATGCTTTTCTCTTGGCAGGAGCGCCGTAAGCGGCAGCAGTGGGAAATAGTACACAAGCAAACGGAGACAGCACATAAGATAGCTGCCTGTGCCTTTGCGCAGCGTTACCTGGCTGACCTTCTGCCATCCGTCTTTAGCAGTCTCAGAGATAGTGGCTACTTTTATGATCCCATTAAAAGAGGTTCGTGGCAATTTTGTTAGATTTACTCTGTTATCGTAAGTGTCCTCTTTTTTTTTTTTTTTTTTTTTTTTTTTTTTTTTTGTTTTTTTGTTTTTTCTCCGGTACCGGGAACCGAACTCACGACCTTGCGCTTGCCAGGTAGGCGCTTTTGCCGCTGAGCTAAATCCCCAGCCCCGTAAGTGTCCTCTTAATGGTTCAAATTTCTTTCATGCTCATCCTGATTTTGAATTAGAAACTTCCTATTTCTGAAACGAAAGTTAATTATATTTAAATAGCTGCTGTTACTAAGAAGAGGTGTATTACAGTATCCTATAAATATGTGCCGTTAAAAAACTAAAATTAAAAATTTCTAAAGAGGTGTGTCATAAAGATCTTGATTTAAAAATGTTAGCATTTCTTCTTTGAGACATACAACGTTGGGTAGGAGAAAGAAATATAGACATTATGTCAAAAACGTAAGATTTGACCCCACCCTCATCATTACCTCCAGTTTCATCATGTGTGAAATGAAATCTTAGAGTATATGGAACTTTGTATAAACAAAGTGCTCTATGTGTAAAAAGCAGGGTGCTTGTGTAATCGTTGTTATAACTCTTTTCTCAGCTGACTTTCTGTTCCAATCTAAAACCCTTTGAGGACAGATGCTGAGATCATTGATCCATTTAATTAGATACTTACACTGTCCCAGGCACTGAGGTAGGCACCCTGGCCTCTGCCTTGATGGAGCACACAACCTGGTAGCCACTTGTTAGCCTCCCCTCAGCCAATCGAGCCATGTGACGGAAAAGAGGTGACGTGTTCTCTCTGCCACCATCCTTACATTAGAAAGCACTTACATCTCCAGGGCTTTGTATCCAAGCTCTGCCTCATTGGCTAATAGTATTTTGGGCCAGGTGTTAGTTATGTAACTCTTGACTGCTTACATACTCAATTCCACACATAGAGGTGAGATTTTAAACAAATGTCATTACTTTACATTTATTTCATACTTTTCAATTTATGTAGTGCTTTTTGTAAGTGATATCATTCGATCCTCCCAGTATCCCTGTGGGGTAGACAGGGCAGGTATAATTCCCATTTTTCAGAAGTAAAAAGTGAAGCACCAAGAATTTAAACCCTTGCTCCCAAATAGTAGAAGTGTTAGTCCAAGCCCACTGTTTTTTTCCTGTGCTACCACCCTGTCTTCTTAGAGTCTAGTTAGGCCTCTTACTGCCAGTCACAGAGATCAGTAACTTTTTTCTGTTGTGGATCATTTAAAATTTTGCAAGTGAAATTCATGCCTGAGACTAAAATATTTATAATAGCAAAAGTAATATTCTATCATACTCTCCCATGTTACCATATTTAAAAATAACAACTACGTACTTTCCCCCAAAAAAAACCTATTTTGGAACTTACCATGTTATACTATAATAGACCATATATTTTTAATCCTTCCACAATAGATTTCTGTTTCCGATGGAGCAGATTTTTCACTAATGGAGATACCTGGTTTCTAACCCTTTTCTAGAAAGCCACTTTCTCACACGCCCTTGGCCTGCATCCAGTCTGCATCGTCTGAACCTCATTGGTTTCCTTTAGTCCCTGGGCCTCTGATGAGGGCATTCTTTGTGCTGGGAATGCTCCGTTTCAGATTTGTATCTTCGTTCTGCTTCCACAGTCTGTTTCAGATTATACTCAGAAGCCAACTCTGACATCCTTGACTCCAAGAAGGGCCTCATAATTTTAAGACTATTTCTACTGCAGTAAAAGAAATTTGACCAGAACATATAGAATATAGCAAACGTTATACTACGTGAGTCTACTTAACATTTTGTATTGGAAAAACAATATAGATGAATCTCTTACATTATGGGCAAAGCACATTCTTCTGGTTTAAAATGATTAATAAAAATGTCTTAGCTGGGCATGGTAGTGCAATCCTATAATCTGATCACTCAAGAGGCTGAGGCAAGAAGACCACTGTGAGTTCAAGGCCAGTCTGAACTATGTAGTGAAGCCATTTCAAAAAAAAAAAAAAAAAAAAGCCCACTTTATTCAGTGTTAGACATGAACAGTTAAAACCCCTTGAACCTATAAGTATATGAAGCAAAATTTAGAAACCCATTTAAAAAAAAAAAAAAAAAAAAAAATGACAGTGAAATTCTTTTTATTACAGATATTGAGATAGGATTTCTTCCATGGCTAATGAATGAAGTTGAAAAAACCATAGAATGCAGCATGATAGGAAGAACAGTGCTTGACAGTAAGTTCTTTCATTTTAAAGTCATCTCTAAACTCTTCACTGGAAGGAATACATTAAAGAAAGATGTTAACTATAAAGTTTTTAACACTTAAGCTTTCAGTACATTAGTTATATTAACAAAGGTATAAATTTTTACCCTCATTTTTATGTTCTATAATTTTATCAATACTAATATCGTCTGTCATTACTTTATAAATGGTATTCCGTTAAAACAGGCCAAGACTATGTCCCATATTCAACTCATCACTATGGAAGTTAAATACGATGACTTTATAAAAGGTTATGGTGTGAGGAAGGGAAGAGGCCTACTGAATGTTTTGTACTCGTCTATAACTTATCTAAAAAATGAAAACTCATAATGATTTTTGCACTTTACAGTGTTGATTCGTGAGGTGGTTGAAAAGAGACTGAATAGTTATGAGCGTAAGGACAGACCTGCACCTTTCAAATGGGAGGATGGGCTTGATATTCCTGCAGCAATGAGAGATCCCACTGCAAACTATGAATTCCAAGAGCCAAGCACATCGCAGGCACAGAGGCCGTTATCAGACACAGACTACCTGCAAACTACGTCTGGTGACAAGGGGCCACCAACCCAACAAAGGAAGCTGATAGAAGACGAAGAGCTCTTGGGGCAGGGTGAAGACTCAGAGATGAGGAGGTCCTTTGAGATGGAAGAACCCGGAGGAGATTCAGACCTGTGAAACCGATCCACAGCCAAGTCAACAACTCACAGTCAGGCACTGGTGCAGGAGGCCCCACAGGCTATAGAAATTGCTCTGTATTTAGTCATCTGACTACGGACTGAGCAAATCAAATGTGATAAAATAATAAAATTAATAAAAAGGACACTTTAATTCATTTATTTAATACTTAAAGACTATAATTTTAATTCTGATGAGAATTATCTTTCATTTCTAGCTTCCCACTCCCCTGTATATAACTAACAAATACTAGCAAATACATTTTTCCATAATTCCCCTAATTTTGATGGCACTCAGCTGCAGCATTCACCAGATTTTTGAGAATACATACCTTAGAAAGATACTCATCAAGGAAGACCTCCAGAACTACTTCATAAAGTGGTGAAAACAATGGGATAAGTGTGTTCAAAACGAGGGGGATTAATGGCAATGTGTCTTTCACAGTAATAATTTTTGATTTAAATATTCACCGTATATTTTTAACATTCCTTTAGATTTGCTTACAAATAAAGTCAGTTCTTCAAAGAAGATTTTTAAATTCAGGATAAAATATTTGAAAGATTAAAATAACATTTAATCAGTGTAATTCCCTTTTTAAAAATAGAGTTCATACTTTAAAATACATTTTATCTCTGTGTTCATTCACAATTTTTATAAAATGAAGTTTGTGTGAATTGTAGTCTAGTTTAGATTATATCCACCACTAGGTGTCGGTAAAACCTCATGACAGAGTTAACTCACCAACAACGCATTTATTAATTTAGTGATCTTAAGAGAGCTTGATAAGAAAAGTTCAAAAACATCTTGTATCCCTTGGAGACTCCAGACTCCCACTGAATATTTTATCTTGCCCAAGTGTTATCTGCTAGCTCTGTGGTGGCGCCAGACCAGACCCTTCAAATGCTGGTTCTAGAATGGACTTCAACTATCACAGACCCCAGTGTTCTGTCCAATTTAGGTTCCTTAACAGATGGTCATTTAGTCTTTCTCTAAGCACTCTGAGGATGAGACTTTCACTTCGAGAGCTGCAGTAGGTGATAATTCTGTTTTATTTAGTTATGGCTTCTCAGTCTGGGGCAATGTAAAAGCTTAGTCAGTTGTCATTAAGAATTTCTTCTATATTGAATCAAAAACAGTCCCATTTATATCGTATGGTTACTAGTCACCATCACAGAGGTATGATTCTGTTGGGGGTAGACAATCATTCTTTATCGTCTCAGCCTAATTATAGACCCCAGTAAGTTGCGCTTTTTTCCCCATTTTTCTTTCTCCCAATGAATTATCACCACACTTTCAATTTTCCTCATGTAACACAGTTGTAAAGCTTCCCACTCTCCATCTTAGTAACTGTAAACTTCAAATTCCTGTTTGGTCAAAGTTCTCTGAAAACATGTTTCCCAGAATTTGGTATACTGCTGTAGATATAATCTAATTTAGCAGGGATTGTTATCAGACTAATATCTCCTCTACTCTGGATATCACTAGCTCATTACTCCAAATTCAGACATCTAGAAACCACATTCTCCAGCGCATAGGGGAGAAAAGCTCAAAATAATTTTTGAGCAGTCACCAGTCACAAAGTCCACGCACTTCAACAGTGGACCCTTATAGCCTATTCTAAGATATTGCTGACCAATTTAGCTATTTCATTTTTAACCCTATAACATGTTAGAAGCAACACACTGGGAGGGGAGAAGGACTGCTAACAGAAGACTCAGACAGCTAACATTTATAAAAGAAGAGGCAAGAAGATGCAAGGAAAGATAGAAACCCAAAAATTATGGCAATCTGGACAAAAATTAAGTATTTTTCAACAGATTCTAAATATGCCATTACACGAAATATATCAGTACAGAAATTAATATGTTTGGAGGAAATACTTCTGTAATAGTGAAATAAAGATCTCTATCTTCCCATGAAAGCAATGGGAAAACAGGCAAAAATTGGCCAGATCGGTACTTTATAAACTGGAAAAGACTTGCAACAGTGAAGCGCGATTATTAATGGAAAATGGTCAAATCTCAGTAAGAACAGTAACCTCCGTGGCATTTAACTTCCCCTCTTTCTTAGCTCCACAACAGACTCAAAAACTGAGACCACAGCCCAGTGGCTACCAAAGGAGGATAATGGGCTTGTGCTCCCTAAAACGCTACACTCCAAGACAGTGATCACTCTTTGACTATGGGACAGCTCCCTGGAAGAGCAGTTTATAGGAATTGACTTTATTTGGCTTGACTCCAAGCTTGCTCATTGACAAAAGTCTAAACACTAGAGCATTTGTTATTAAATGAATAAAAAAAAAGTAACTAAAATTACTGTAGAAAATAAACAAACAAGAGCAATTGGTGAGTTTAACTCTACAGCAGCCCGAAATGTAGATATCAATTGGAGCAAATAAGAGACTGACAAAAAAAAATTTTTTTTAAATCTTCCACCAAGATGTTTGCGGGGGGTGGGGGTGCTTTAAAAAATTTCAGTGTATTCCTGGGAGCCTATACCTCAGGTGCTTGAGCAGCACTTTGTGCCTGCCTAGGAAAAACTTGAAAAGGCTAAATTTCTCATCATAACTAACCTCAAGGATCTGCACAAACGGAACTGAAGGCTAAGGCAGAGTTGTAAATTGCCAAAATATTAAGAGGCATTCCAAACCTTGTAGAACTCCTCAGCCAAGGGTGGAAGACAAGGATTTGAGTGAGCTATTTAAAAAAATCTCCAGCTGGGCATGGCGGTACATGCCTATAATCCTAGCACTCAGGAGGATGAGGCAGGAGGATCACTGCAAGTTCAAGGCCAGCCTGGGCTACATAACAAGTCAACCCCCTCCCCAGTCTCTATCTTATCATTTACTGACCACTCACCTGAGCAAAGACTTCAGTGGCTGAACACAACAAATCTCAAATAATTTTTTCCAGGAAAGTCATTGAACAAAAAACAACAATAAAAAGCAGTAACAAAAACCCATGTTTGGGGTAGGACAAGAATCTAATGTTACAAATATTCAAAATGTCTTATCTTCAAAAAATTACAAAACATTCAAAAATAGTAAAATATGAAAAAGGAAAAAGTTACACAGAAATGTTCTGAAGCTCAGCTTGTGAACTTATCAGAAAAAAGACTTTAATCAAATATTATATGTCCAAAGACCTAAGCAATTTTTAAAGTATAGGAATTATGTCCTACCAAATAACAACTTGGGTCTGCCAAGTGGGAAAGAGGGTGGGCTAGGGGAATAATCTAGTTTCCTTTAGTAGTTTTTTTATTTGTGTAGTGCTTTTTCTATGTTCAGCACTAAGGCTTTCTTTGCTTTGACTTAGAATAAGTTCTTTAACAGCATATTACTTGGTTAAGTAACCTGAAATATGCATTCGAATTGTGATGTCTCGTGAATTTGCCAGTCCCTAGAGTGGAACCAAACAGCCTTTGATGTAAAGGGCAGTGGATGCTGCAGGCTCTATTTCAGGTGCTACTACAACCTCCTCTAATCAGGTCTAAATTGTATAGTAAACTGCTGTGGAAAGAGTATGGTTTCTGCTCAGGCTAAGGCAGTGGTGGGGAACCCATGGCACACATGCCGCAGCAGGCTGTTTGTTATCATTGAAAGCTCTAAAAGGTTTGCCATCACTGGGCTAAGGGATTCACTTATGTGTCCTACAGATTCAAAGCCACAAAGCTAAACTTCACCTAGCACCCGCTCCAGTTTCATGGATCTTGCATGATCTTTGACGAGACTTCCTTACACACTTGTGCCCAGATTTCTAAGGTAGTGGCCATTTTGTAGATGCAGTTATTGTCCCAGCTAGCTCTGTTATCAGCCTTTTGGTGTGTTTCCATACTGTTCATTTGGAAAGGCAGGGCTAAATATACTGATGTAGCACTTTTGCTTTTAATAATTGCAGACTACAGACAACCCAGTAGTATATACTAGTCCTTACAAGGGATTTGAGGAAGCTCCCAGGGATTACTGAATGTTTTTCCACCTAATAGGGTAGTCTAGCAGTTTTTCCTTAGTCTGGTATCTTTGGTTCAGTAGAAATATTTCATAGTGGTAGTGACCACTTGATGCAAAGTCTGGTTTTCTCTACAATGAATTCCTTTGCCAAATGCAGGAGTTGCAGACTTGCTGCTGGTATGAGTAAAGCAAGCGGGCAAGTAACCCTGTCCTGGTGTTGGGGTATTTTCCTGTAGGAATTCAGTCTCTTGAACATGTAGGTGCAGGAATCGGACTCCCAGGAGGGCTGTAGACAGTGTCTCCTGGCGGGCCCTACTGGCCTCTTGTGGGCAGTAACGCTGACATCGTTTGAGGTGGCAGGTATGATGCCTGCCTTCTGGGCTATTTGAGTGAGTAGCTGAGCCAGCCAACGGAGTTTGGATAATTACAGGAAAAGTAAGAGATTCTTGGTTAAGCTGAAAACTTCATTTGGGAACCAAAACCAAGTAATCCCTTGGATCTTGAGCCACATATTTTCCTTGCAATGTGTGCATTTTCCTACATAATGTTATCAAGAGGCGAAGTGAGATAAATATGAAGTTTTATTTAATAGCACACTGTACTGGAAATCCGAAGACCTGCAGTACATTTAAATTCCAGCTCTTGTTATAATTTTTTAAAAGATTGTGAAATTACAAAAATGCACATGAATCAAGTTTTAATATACTGTATGATGGGTGGACGAGGCAGTCCACTGTACCATTTCTTTCTTTGGATTCTCAGGCGCGGTTGGGCAGTGCAAGAACTCTGCAACATTAACAAATTCAATAAAAAATAAATACTAAAAAAATAAATATTATATAGCCAGGCCTGCTCAGGGTATCTATGGGGACATCATAAACAACCATCTTCTCCTTGAATTTGGGAAGCTGATTTTCCTCCTAAGTACTACCTCCTTGGTAGTGTTGGTCAATATTCAACATGATATGTTGGCCAAGAGCACATCCAACAGAGCCAGGTGACCCTGTTGTCTGGAGCTGCCTGGCCAAGGAAACAGACCAGTCCACTAGATCTTAATGGCTTGGGATGGCTCCTTGGCTCTTTGTCAAACATGCTGAGAGACTGGTGTCACTATAGTCAGCTCAGTTACCCTCACTCAAGAATGAAACACTTCGGAGACTGTGGGATCTTCTGTATGCAACCAGAATATTCCACCATTCCACAGGAGA